TGAAGGTTCATCATGCGAACTAGGGGTGGTCCAGGCCGGCTTCCTGCAGGGCAGTGGGGTGACAAGGACACCAAGGACCAGGCACTGCAGAAAGAGGTCATGGTGACAGTTCCTCCAGCCCCCGCCCTCCACTCCAGGACTTGACCTTACAGTCAGCGTGTACAGTGGGAGTCTGGGCCAGAGACAAAGGGAGGACAGGATGGTGGAGGGAGGTGGCCTGCTGTCTGGAGGGTGCTCATGTCCCAGGTGGAAGTGAGGTAAGTCAGGGTTCCCCAGCCACAGCCTCCAGAGTCCAACCAACCATCAGATAACGGGGGAAGCCAATCTGTAGCCAGCACATGGCTGATAAAACCCACCTTGCAGATAAAGCAAAGCATGAACAGAAACTGTTAACTGGACCTTTGGGTCCTCCCTCGACCTGACATCATGATGGGGACAGTCCGGTGAGGAGAGGTCCCCATCTTCTGTTTCTCAGGATTGAAGAGTACGAGTGGCCTCAGGACCCAGTCCCTGCAGAGCCCGCCAGCCCATCCACGCTGAACCCTCCCTGCTGATGGCTTCTCTCTGGCAGCTGCTCCTGTGGGCAGGGGCTGGGCAGGGGCTGTCCCGGGGGGTGGGTGAGATCACCTGGGCGGGGACCCCAGCAGGCAGGTGCGTTCTACACCCTGCTGCCCCGGGTGTGGTTGGGGACCTGCAGCCCAGCAGCCTGTTGGAAATGCAGAACCCTAAGCCCCAGCCTGGGGCCAGGAAGCAGCACCTGCAGTGCCAGCAGCCCCCGGGGACTCATGAGGAACTCAGGTGCTGAGCCCCAGCGGAGGGCAGCTGTTCTCCCGGCAGCACAGTCCAAGGGAGACACACACCTCATCCTGGCGGCATCTGTAGGGTGAGTCGGCGGTGAGCGACTGCAGCCCACCACTCATAGGAGCTCCGACAAGACAGAGTTTACTTTTCTTTCACAAAAACCGAGTGTGGACAAGTGCAGTCCAAGGTGGGCACCCTTGTCCACCATCATGAGGGGAGAGGACTCCTCTGTCTCATTTCTAGGAAACCCTCAATATCTGATTACTCCTTATGTTCCACGATGGCTGCTGGAGCGCCAGCCCTCACATCTACTCTACAGCTGCCCGGGACAGCCCGGCCACGGTTCCTAGCTGACTTTGCTCTCTCGACCGTCTGCAGCCACCGCCAAGCTTGGGGGCCATCTTCACAGGAAGTCATGGCCGCTGCCGGCCAGCAGCCTGCGATAACAATGGGGTGGGCGGAGTAATTCTCCCAGCGGGGCAGGTGGGAGTGTTCTGTGTACCCTGTGCTCCCCGCCCCCACATGGAAACAGCCTGCACCGAGTCCACCTGTAGGACCCACCAGGGAGAGAAGAGAGAAAGTCAATACACTTAGCCAGGAAAAAAAACCTCTTAATACCCAGGAGGTCTGTAAAACCAGGAATAGAACGGAGGGATAGAGCTGTTTGCAATCTAACTGACAAATGCAGCTTTTCCCCTAATAGAAGCAGAGGAGGCTCCAGAATCCAATTATGTGAATAGGCCACATGGCACGCACAGGCCGGCCACCTTCCCATTTGTCTGACAGGCTCCATTAGGCCCATTATTCTTCTTGATTAAATCTCCTCTAAGGATGCCCGTAGGGTGGGGTGGGGTGGGAACGGTCACACATCAGCTAGGGGAGACGTGAGGGCAGCAGGTGGTGCCCCCTCAGGAATGGCCCCCCAACCCGTGCCCCAGCCCAGGCGAGAGGCTGTCACATAGGGCCCTTCCTGCTCTTAGGGGACCTTCAGGAGACCCCAGTTGTGAAGGACAGGGACTCTGCTGCTGGCTCAAGCAAACGAGGAAACTGCTCTCTCCCAGCAGTTGCTCCAGGGCTGGTCCCTGAGGCTGCTCCACCTGGAACCAGGGCTCCCCACTCTGTCTGACCTCCCCACAACCATCCTGTAGCCTGGCCAGCACCCCAGTGTCACATCAGGGTTCCAGGCTTCCTGGGCAGACACCTCAGTGTCCTGGGGAGAGACAAGGAAAGCGCGATCATGGCAGACCAAGAGTTTTCTTCCACCTTCCCTCCAAAGAACACCAGTGTAGACAGTCACCTCTGTGGGAGTCCGGGGGTCTGGTGGAGAAGTGCCAGTCACCCTTGGCGCAAAACCACCGGGAGTTGGCTGCATTGAGGTTAAGAGCAGCAGTTTCATTTTACGCGCAACACCCTATCCCGGGCGGCACAGCTCAGGGCCCAGAGAGAGCGTCTCCATCTGTGATTTCTCCCACGCCTCTTTCTCATCCATCCAGAACACTGAGTGTGCCGTGACTGGGGGCGGGAGCCGCAGGGAGAACAGCAGATGGGGCTCTTGGAGGACAGCAAAGGACACAGACCCTGGTAACCACATTGCGACCCTGTCAGGAAGCTGGACTGGCTCAGAGGAACCCCCCCAACACTGTGCGTCTCACCACCACACATAGCTGCCCGTGACGCATTCCATGTGTGCTCGCGAGGGCAGCGAGAGGGGGCCTCTGAAAGATGGCTGGTGAGTGTGTGCACGGAGCCGGCCAGACCGTGTGAGCCCAGGAGAAGCCACAGAGGTCCGAGCAGCTGGCGCAGTCCTGGGGAAAGCAAAGGACAGAAGAGAGGTGTCGCATGTGGCCCCGTGCTCTGCAGGCTCGTAAGTCCAAGAATTCTGCCACAAGAGGGAACAAGTGTGGAGCAGGTGTGTGTCCACAGAAAAAACCCAAGAAAGCCTCAGGTTACATTGTGGGGCTGAGAGAATGTACCCCAAGAGACAGGAGACTGAAATAAATAAAGTCAGAAACGAAAGAAGAGACATTACAACTGACAGCACAGATCTACTGCTGTGAACAGTTAGGACCACAAATTGGAAAACCTGGAAGCAATGGATAAATTCCTAGACACAAACGACCTGCCGAGACTAAATTATGAAGGAATAGAAAATATGAACAGACAGATAAAGAGTAATGAGATTGCATCACTAATCAAAAACCTCCCCAAAAAGAAAATTCCAGGACCACATGGTTCTCTGGTGAATTTTATCAACTGCTTAAACAAAATGAACACCAGCTCTTCTTAAACTCTTCCAACAAATTGAAAAGGAGGGAACACTCCCAAAGTCATTTGATGGGGCCAGCCTCACCCTGATACCAAAGCCAGACAAGGACACCACAAGAAAAGAAAACTACAGACCAATATCACTGATGAACGTAGAGGCAAAAATCCTCAAGAAAATACTAGCAAACCAAATTCAATAGCACATTAAAGAATCATGCATCACGATCAGGTGGCATCTATCCCCAGGATTCAGGATGGCTCATCACACCCGAATCAGCAAATGTGATACACCACATGAACAGCATGAAAGAAACATTGTATGATCATCTCAACAGAGGCAGAAAAAGCATTTCACAAAATTCAGCATCCTTTCATGATAAACTCTCAACACAAAAGTCCATATATGGTACGTTCACAGCTAACGTCACGGTCAGTGGGGAACGTTTGGGCGCTTTCCCCCTAAGATCAGGAACGAGACGAGGGCGCCCACTCTCACCTCTCCTTCACGGCACAGCACTGGGAGTCCCAGTGAGAGCGCGAGGGAGAAATAGAAGGCACCCAAATCATAGAGGAAGAAGTGACATTATCTCTGTTTGCAAATGACATGTCTTCTACATAGAAATCCCTAAAGATCCCACCAAAAAAAAAAAAAAGATGGAATAAAGAAGGAATTCAGTAAAGTTGCAGGACACAAAATCAGCAACAATGAATAAATGGATAAAGAAAAGGTGCAATATACTTACAATGGCTATATATACACTACACAGTGGAATATTATTCAGCGGCCAAAAGAAGGAAATCCTGCCATTTGAGACATCGGTGGATTTTGAAGGTATGCTGCTCAGGGAAATAAGTCAGATAGAGAAAGACAAATACTGCGTAACCTCCCTTATATGATGAATCCGAAAAAGCTGAGCTCATTGATACAGCAGATTGGTGGTTGTCAGAGATGTTGGGATTGGGGAGACAAAATGGGTGAAGGTAGTCACAGGTCCAAACTTCCAGTTATAATATAACCAAGTCCTGAGGTGTAAGGTACAGTATGGGGACTATAGTCTATAATACCCGTGTTGCATATTATTAGAAAGCTGCTAAGAGACATCTACAAAGCTTTCATCAAAAGAAAAAGTAATTTGTAACTACATGTGGAGACGGATGTGAACTAGACTTACTGTTACCACTTTGCAATACATACAAGTATCGAGTCATTATGCTGCACACCTGAAACTGTCACAATGTTGTATGTCAATTATACCTCAATAAAAAAGAAATAAAATTAAAAAGGAAGTAGGGCACCAGCCAGGGATGTGAGCTGCACACCCCCTCTCCCTCGCCACAGCACCACCACTCACTCGCAAACTCTCTCAACATGGTGAAAAAGCTGTTTTAAAGGACTATTCAGGCCCAGGACAATAATTCCCTCCCTGTGTGGACTCCAAGTTCTGAGGACTCTCTGGAGGAAAGATGGCACAAGAAGATGGCTGCGAGAGGCGCTAGGACTGGGGGCTCTGGCCAGAGGAGGTGGGGACCCCGAGGGTGTCAGGGAGATCAAGCCCGGAGCAAAAGAACCATGTAGCTGGGAGGGTGGCATGCGGCTGGACCCTGTCCCTCCTGTGAAAAAGCACCAGTGCATCACTCAGGACACCGACAAAGGGACACGGTGTACCATGTCCCTGTCCTTCTCCCTACGCCCGCTGGCTGGCACCTAATCCCCAGGTACCTAAGAGAGCAGTAGGGGTGCGGTGAGGTGGGGTGGGGTGGAGGGTGCATCGTCTGTCATGGTGTCCCCAGAGCTAGAACGTGCTGGGTACATGTCGCTGAGTAAACGCGCCGAGGGTAGCATTGTACCCATGTGTGATTCTGTTTAGATTTTTGTCGAGAGACCCGCGATCCTGGTCACCTGCCACAAGCAAAAGACTTTAAAGTCCACACTCTGTTTTAAGGACATTAAGATTTTATTTCATAAAAGTCACGACACACTTTCACTACTGAGGGGCATTCATCATCTTGCCTGTGCTGTGAACTGCTCTAAACACACGACTCTTCCTGACACCTTAGCTTTGGCCCAGTGTGTGCAGATGATAAAATACCGCAGCAGCCGGAGCAGATCGTGTATAAATAAAGTGCACTCTTCATTCACTGGACGGCAAAGGTTTGCTCACCACATCTCCTGATATATTAGCCATGGAGGGGGAGGACGTTGAGAGTAAAAAAGCAAAGAATTCCATCTACAATAAAGGCCGGTCCCATTTGATTTGCTTCACCAGGAACTAAATGAGGGAAAATCCAAGTGTAAATCCGAGGAATACAGTGTTCTCACGGGCACAGAAGGAACCCGGGTTCTGAGTCATGAGGAGAAGCCAGGCTGGCACGTCGGACTTTTCACCAAGCAGGGGCTCTGCGGGGGTGTCCACCTGTGTCTGCCAGGTGCCCCCCAGCATGCCCATGGGGGTTTCACACGAGGCGCATGGCACTGTCACAATGTGCTGAGCTGACTGGCGCTCCTGGGAGTTTGTCTGGACAGACCAACGGTTCACTCTGTGGACACGCCAGTCTGCACCCCCTCCCGCGGTGGGGTGGCCGTGCACGATGTCACACTCACTGTGGTTGGGCGAGTTCCTTGTAGAAGGTACCAGATGAGGGTGCCAAAGTTCCACAGAACTACACAGGGAACTTACTCTGCAACCAAGCAGACGTGTGGGGTGGGGGAAGGGCTTGCTGCTGGCATGGTCACAGTGTTCAAGGTCCATCTCCAGGGTTGAAGGCAGGTCTGAATTCTGCAGCACACATCTCACAGACACCAGGAGCGCTGTGGTCACTGCAGGATATTTCGCGAATATGTCAGGGGCATTTGGTTCACATCTGTGATGGCAAACCCTGGTGTGGCATAGGCTCTTGCGCTCACATGGAGTGGTGATGGTGATTCCATGGCCTCAGGGGCTGAGCCACAGATTAACAGTGATTGTCACCCCCTGCCTCCCCCCCAGATCAGACCCTCCCTCAGAGCTATCTGCCACATGGCAGGGCAGCCTTTGCAGCAACACAAGATACATACTGTGCAAGCCACCACTGCGACTGCTCGTTAGACACACGGGAAAAAAGCATTTGTAAGGGATAAGGAAGGAACTCTCAAAGGGAAGTTTGGCCCTGCAAAAACCGCGATCTAGACGGGGGGAAGCCAACACAAGGCATAGCCTGCCCGCCCACCGTGAATGTGAGAAGGCTCCAGTGCTAGAAGACGCCCTCTGAGGGCCGGCTTCAAGTCGGAAGTGTCAACACGCGTGAGGATGCTGAGAAGCTCTCCGAACCCCACGCTGTGCCTTGGCCACTCCTGGCTCTCCACGCTGGTGAGGCCCCCACCCAGGACTGGGTGGAGCAGCCCGCGGCTCAGCTCACAGCCAACCCAGTGACCCAGCATGGACCTCACACCGGGATGTCACCCGACAGAAAGCCACTCTTCAGCTGGAGCTTGCTGGGTGAATTCAGCAGGTTGAACACGACCGTCATAGTCTTCCCCAGGGGTCCCCATCTGCCTCTGCCTGACCTTCTGGGGGCATGTGGAGACCTTGGGCTCCCTCACCAGACCCCGCCTCTGTGGCCCTGAGTCCTCATCCTGGCCCAGAGGCGAAGCCTCCCCAGGTCCTGTGCGCTCATGCGTCGCAGGTCGGATGCTCGCACACTTGCATGATGACAGCAGGCCCACGAGCATCACGGCCAGATTGCTGTGTCCTCCAGGGGAGTCCAAGGGCAGTCACTCAGCTCACAGGAGGCTCCGAGCCGGGCTGTCCGCCCATCACTAGGCATGGGGCTGTGGGCTGGCAGTGGGCTGTCACACAGGGAGGGGCCGTGATCCCACAACCAGACGGAACAGGAGAGGTCCCACCGGCGAAGGCAGAGTGTGTCTTGCATTTTGTTTGGGGGGGCGGTGCTCTGAGTGGCGGGCAGACCCGGTCCACGGCCTCTGCTCACACGGGGGACAGGTCCACGCGGTGGGCAGACTGGCTGCTCTTGTCCCAGGGGCTGAGCTTGGTGGAGGCCGTGCCCAGCTGGGTCCCGTTCATCTGCGAAGCACAGGGGAGTGAGGGGTGCGGACTCTGATCCAAGGCGAGACACCGAACCCGTGTGAGTGCGGAAGCGGGCCTGGGCCAGGAGGCTGCCTGAGGTCCTCCCCGTGGGGCCCCCTGCTCCCCCAGAAGCAAGGACCCTGAACTCCAGGGGGCGCCCTACTCCCACCTGCTTGCTCTGCATGATTTCCCTCCCCCCCCTCCCGGGTTCTGGTGTGCATTCATTCATTCACTCTCACCTCATTCATTCATGCACCGACCATCTTGCATTTACTCATCCACCTCCCTCCATTCATTCCTCCCTCCATTCCTCTGCCCATCTGTCCATTCACACATTCGCTCCACACTTGTGTTCTGAGCATGCTGTGACTGGTGCTGACGTCGGCTGTAGGGTCACAGCAGTGAGCAAGGCAGGCGGATCCTGGCCCTGGCATCACCCTTCCACAGGGGGAGGCGGGCAGCGGCCATCAAGCGGACAAGTGGAGAAAACAATCGTGGAGAGTGGGGGTGGGGGGGGGTGACACCAACACGAGGCGGGAGCACCCGTGTTCCCAGGTGCTGCCCAGGACGGACCTCCTGAGGCTGTGACACCTGAGTGGGTTAGGAGGACACCACGTGCTCCAGGCTTCCTTGGGGGGCCCTGACCCAGGGGCCTCTTGGTCACTTAGTGACCTGTATGTCTTTCCATTCCCCAAAGTCAACACAAGAAGGGCTACCCCGGGAAAGGGGGCAGGAGATTTCACAAGGACAGAGGACCCGGCCGTGGTGTGACACGGCCCAGGGCCGCACAGCCAGCAAGTGTCAGGGGGCTGAACCAGGAGCCGAGGCGCCTCCACCGCCACCTGCACTGATGCCACCACGGACGGGGCTGGGCTCCAGGCTGTCCTCGGTGAGGCAGAGGCTGCCTGCCGCTCAGAGGCTCAGCGAAGCACCGCCGTGACCGGACGGATCTCCAGGTGACAGCGAGAGAGAGCAAGCACCCTGGGGGCAGCAGGGCACTGTCCGCCCCTGCAGGGAGGGGTGGAGGCGACACCCCACACTGCACTCACCACGTCGGAGCTGAAGGGCTTTACGTTGGGGTTGCGGCTGGAGCTGCTTGTGAGCGTCCAGACCTTGGTCTTGTGCTTAAAGGCAGCTCTCACCTTTGAGGGTAGAACGAAGGCTCATTAGAAGCCGCTCCTGAGGCTGGACCAGGGGCAGTCAGAGCCCTGCCTACAGGTCCCTCAGGGGCAGGGTCTGTCAGAGCACAGTCGTCAGAGTCGCAGGCGCACTTGCAGGCACAGCTCGCGTCCCCACCACGGCACCGGGCCCTACATGGGGAGCTGGGTCTGGCACGGTCTGGGCGGGGAGCTGGGACACACACAGCAGTGAGTGGCGTGGAGGGCACAGCGAGTGACAGGAGGTAGAACTAGCAGGTGGACACGCAGATGTGCACACAGGATGGGCCACCCCACCCCTGTCTGCCATGTGGACCTGGGCTGTTCCCTGGTCTTCGCAGTCACCTAACCCCGTCCACCGGCCACCGTCTTCCTCAGCAGCGCTCCCCGCCCTGCCCCATGCCCCCATCTCTCCCTCCCCGCCTGACCCATGGTTGTACAGACAGGCGGTCTCAACCGAAAAAGCAGATGGTGGGGCGGGTGCTTCTGCCCTGTCCCCACGCACCGTTCCAGGGGCATTTCCTCACAACCACAGCCCGGCAGTGGCTAGAGTGCCAGGGCACACAATGCCAAGCCCACAAGTCAGGGTTGTGGGGCCTGAGGGCAGGGCCAGGCCTGGAGCCGCACCACCCTCCCCATGGTCTGCACACAGCAGGTGCAGTGCCCACACCGCACGGAGGAGGGGACCAGCTCCAGCTGCCACGATGCCCTTGGGGGCCACACCGCAATGCCCCCTCTCCAACCCCTGCTGCCAGGACACCCCCTTCTTACACCCCAGGACAGCTTCCCAGGGCCTCTTGGGAGGACCTTTGGCAGCACATGTACGCCTCACTGTCCCTGAGTCACCAGCAAGGCCCTGAGTCTCCATCTCGCCTTGTCCTCCACGCAGCCAGCGCTGCCTGAGGGGGGAGGCTTGGGTGTTGCTTAGCAACTGGATGAGACAGAAGGGGCTGATGGAAACTAGCCCCACCGTGCACAACTCGTCACTGATTTCAAGGCTTATTCAGAATTAGGTTCCCAGATGCCAGCCTGACCCCGCGTTCTGTGCCCTTTCAGAAAAAAAAACACCCCAAAACCCGCCTCATGTTGTTGGGCGTGCAGGAGACGTACCTCTGAATTCAGGAGGCAATGAAAGAGGAAGATGAAAAATCCCTGGAAAGGAAGGAGGCAGCTCAGTTAGAACCACTTGCATTTTGTTATCATCACGTCCTCAAGGTTCTTCCCGGCACCGCAGACGGGTTCTGAGAGCAGCTCTGGCCTGGCTCCCTCTTGGGGAGCCTGGGCGTGCGCTGTGATGGGCTGGGGTCCATGAGGAACAAGGGGTGTCCTGGATCCCACCCTGTAATGTGACCTAGAGGCAGGCAGCCACTAGATCGGGGTCAGAGGTGGCCTCTGACTGGGCAAAGATTCAGGGACAAGCGGGTCCCCAGACAGGCAAACGCTGGGGACAGCCCAAGGTGAGGACATCAGACTGTCGCCTGAGCTGAGCCTCGGTGTCCTCTGCAGACTGAGGACAAGATGTCCCCTAACATCGAGCGGCTGCTCCCGTGTGTCAGGCAAACACGTCACGTGTCTCAATTGTGCTGGAAGCAGCCCCGTGGAGTGAGTCCTGTCATCGGTCCCACTTTATGGGGAGGAAACTGGGGCACAGAGGACATGAGCCCCAGGACCTGTCATGTGTGGGGACGGCCGCCAGGACCACCCATCACTTTCGTGATAAGCAGCCAGAGGGAAGCTATGCATGAAGCTTATTACAGTTTAGAAGCTCGGCACACCACTGCAAGAGGGTCACTGGTCACGAGACCAGATGCTGGGTGGGGGCTGTGGGTGGTAACAGGCTCCACCTCCGTGCTTCCTCCGGGGGCTTGAGAGTCCGGGGGCTCAGACTCTGGCCATCCAAGCCTCTGGTTTGCAGGCTGGTGACCCTTCCCTGCCCATCCATGCAGGGGACACATGCGAACTCACACCTGGGGTACCCCTATCACCCCCTCTCCAGACCCTTTCAGGAGCCGTCCACATGGAGACTGTCCTCCCTGTCAGGCCGGGATGTACCTCCCACAGGTACTGGCCACGTGAACAGGGTCACAACCCTTCAGGCCCCGCTTGCTCAGAGACCCCGGAATGTGCCCCACGGATGCCCCCGTCCTCGGGCCTTGGGGACGCCCCATGCTATGGGTGTCACTCCGGCCCTGGGACAACCTGCTCCGTGCATGCCCACCCACAAGGCTACAGCCAACACCCCCACCTGAGGGTGCCTTGGCTCCTACCTGTAAGGAGTTGAGTATGGCAAACACGTACTGGAAGACGACCGCCTGGCCGTTGACAGCCAGCACGCCGAAGACCCAGGACGTCCCCAGGATGGGCAGCAGCACGGCCACAGCTTTCGCTGTCAACCTGAGAGGGAAACGGGGCAGTGCCCTGGGTGGGTCTGGAGGGCCAGCCTGGGGGTGCGAGGCTGCTGGTTGGGAGCAGACGCAGCCCCTGTGGGGAGTGGGGCCCGAGCTCCACCCTGCAGCAGCCTTGGTGAGTGGCTGACCCCGGGACAGAGGAGATGGGGTTCCTGCTGGGACAGTGCTGGGCCCATTAACAGCACTGCTTCCGCACTATTGCAGCCGGCATGGGTGTTTGGGAGCCAGCATGCACTCTGGGCACACAGACTGACCACCAGAGGGGAGGGCTGGTCCCAGGTGCCCGCAGAGGACAGCAGCGGGGTGGGAGGCGTGCCCAGCACCAGGGCAGCAGCAGGTTTGGCCTGGTGAGCTCCCCTGGGAAGGTGACCTCTACGAGGAACGCTCTGCAGACACATGGGAACGCCCCCCTTCCCGTGCTGTTCTCCACCTCCACCCGTGTCACCCTTTCCACTCAGGAGACATTCCCACGGAGGCAGAGACAAGGTGTGGAGGGGCCCGTGGTGAGTGAAGGGAGGGAGCAGAGAGAGGGCACGGAGGGTACACAGGTGTGGGGTGAGCACACCGGGGGGTCTGGGGGAGCTGAGGTTGGACTGAGGGAGGGACAGGCTCCTCACTGGCCAGGCCACCACCAGCCTGGGGCACAGGGCCGGGGGACGGCCAGCCCCACAGGGCAGCGCTGCCTGTTCTCGCTATGGAAGATCCCTGACCCAGGGCCACCTTTTCTCCCACACGACGCACATTCCAGGGTTTCCAGCAGCTGAAAGAGCCCGCGAGGCTGGAATTCATTACAGAATAATCACCTTGTTGACCTGCTGTTGACACGCTGTTTTCCCTTCTGATCAGAAGCGATATGCTATCGCTAAGGGAACTTACACAACACCGGCCCCCATGTCCTTGGGAGCAGCCACCTCCACCACTTCCTGGCCTATGGTTTAGGGGTGCTGATTGCACAACTGGTCCAGGTTACTGGGACCCCCATTCCACTGTGACTGGTCCAGGGTAGCCACGTGACTCATCCAAATCTCAGCCTCCAGCCTCAGGTCGTCTGTCTGATTGTTGGGAAAGAGGCATTTCCTAGACTTCAGCCAGGTTGTCACCAGGAGGCGTGAGGCTGACCCAGAGGTCACAGGGCTGAGAGGTGCAGTGGGAACTGGGCCCTGGGGCTGTGGTTTGAGCCCCTGTACAAATCAGCTAGATGCCCTCCTGGGCTTCATGATTGCGGTGTTGATAGGTCCCCCTTTTCTTTAGCCAGTTTGTGCTGGGTTTTCCATCACCTGCCATTGGCAGAGCTCTAACTGATACAGGGCAGGGAACCCTCCTGCCCCCTCTCCCGATGGCCCAGCCCACAGCACGATGCGAGTCTTACTCTCTTAGGGCGTCCTCCATGTGACAGCCCTGTGAGACGTCTGCTGTCACCCCTCCCCGCTCCCCGACCCCGGATGAAGACAGCAAGACATTGAGGGGTTAGATACGGCGCAAGGTCCCAGCAGACGGCAGGGCTGACACAGGGGCGGCCCGGCCCTAGAGTCTTCCTCTTCACCCCACCCAAGTTGCTTCTCGCCCTCGGGTGAAGCAGTGCCCAGGAAAGCATCTAGTAGGCCCCCCTCTTCCACAGATGGGGGCTCCGAGACTGGGAAGAGTGGCTAGTCCTGGTCACAGCGACTGAACAAGGAGCTAAGAGAGGACGTGAGCCCAGGGCCGTCCCAGGGTGGCTGTGAGGACACTGCCCAGCGACCTGCCCTCTGTGGGTGGGGACGCTGTTGACGGCCAAGGCCAGCTTACTTGAAGGCGCTGGGGTCTCCATGGATCTTGTAGTTGTCGGCGCTGATCTGGGAAATGACCCTGGTCACGGCAATGAGGATGCTGATGTTGACCTGCATGAGGGGACAGGAGGGCAGGTGAGGGCTGGAGCTGCACCTGCAGGCACCTGACTCTACCTGGCCGTGGGCATTGGCCCGCAGGCCCCCAAAAGTCTGCGCTCTGGGGGCTCACACCTGTGCTATGGAGAAAAGACAGCAAAACACGGCACTTCTGGTCCCCAGGAGGAAGGGGAGAGCCCTTGGGCAAACCCTCCACTCAGCATCGGTTCGCCGTGTCACCCTGGGAAACTCACATACGTTCTCTGAACCCCATTTGATGAGAAACAGCAGTGGTGCCCACAGCGCGAGCTGACCATAGAGAGGACGAGGGATCACGTGTGAGGGCCCCAGCACATTCCCGCCCCCGCCAGACGCCTGGCTGCGTGACTGTGGGGCCACAGCAAAGGAGACTCTCCCTCCTGTCCATGACCCCTCCTTGCTGGGAACCTGCCGGGGGGAGGGGGGGCTCCCCTTGGGGTCTGTGCTGCTGGTGGGGGGGGGATGGAAGGGGTCTGGCAGAGGCTCCAGGACTTGTCCCCTCCCATGGCAGCTCTCCAGGGTCCTGAACGAGAGGCTGGGTCACAGCAGGTGACAGCAGGAGAGTGACAGCCCGGATATCCCTCCGCTGTGGGGTCCCCAGCTGGATTCAGGGCTGTCTGTGGCCAGCGGCCTCTCCCTTATTTCTGAGAAACTCCAAGGTCATTTGCAGAGTTGCTGAGGGCTCCAGCTCCAGGACCAAATCCCTTGTGTGAATTACAGGCGGGCCTCAGAGGGAGGCGGCCACCCCACCAGACCTGGCCCACAGCCGAGCTTTGGGGGCTCTGAAGGGCGTTGCAGGCATGGACCCCCGGGGCCCCTTCCACCCTGGCTGGCCACGCCACACACGCAGCCTGGGCTCCTGCCCTGGAAGGTCCCCTCTGGGCACCCAGCCTGAGGCCTTTTCAAACACGCCTGCCAGTACCGCCTCTTCCTGGGGGCCTCGCAGCCTCCTCCCCACTCTGCCTCACTGCTCAGGCCGTTCCCACCCCCAGCCTTGTCCTGACCCTCCTCCCATCGTCCTCCCAGTGGGACGATTTGAGGCATCCCTGTCTGTCTGTCCCCGGGAAACGGGACACTGGGCATGGCACCCTTTCCTGTCTGGCCCTTGCTTATCCTGTTTCCATAGGCAGATGAAGGTGTGATTGTGGCTTTCAGTTTGGTGTCTCATCTTAACCAACCAGCTCACCGTCTGGCACCCCCTCTCCCAGCAGTCACACCCACCTGGCTGGCCCCATCTTCTCGCCTGTAAGACGAGGGTGACTGTGGATGTCCCCCAGGTCAGGGAGAGGAAGCAGGTCACAGACCTGATCGCCCAGGAATACCGTGCCCCCACCCCTCCTCACTGCCGACTGACTGTGTCACAGCCACAGGACAGCCACACTCAGCCAGACTAAGAGGCGGGCCAGCAGGTCACCGGGTTCTGGAGTGAAAATACCGCGATGGGGACAAAAGCGAGGGTGCCTCCGGCATAGTCGCTGCTCCAGGGAGTGGGAACTTCCCTTCCAGGCCATCTCAGCGGCCTTCTGAAACCAGGCTGTGCATGTGCCTGGAAGCATCCTGCCTCCAGCAGCGTAGACTGCCTTGCGAGGGGTGGGGCAGGGGGTGGGGGTGGGGGGGACACAAAAAATGCCACAGACGCAGCTGCTCTCCCCGAGATTCAGTCGTTTTTTTCTTGAATAAATGCTTTCAGCTTTTACGCCGTTGGGGAATTTCCAGAGTTCTGAGCTGCACCGTGTTTCACATGCATGATTCACCCTACAGCAACCTCGCATCTGCGGGGGAGCATCCCCTAGGCCTTCTGTCTGCCGCCCTGCAAGTTCTGCCTCCTTCGCTTTGGGGGTGTATGTCCTGGGTCCTCACCCACGGGTGACCTGAGGCCTCGTCTGTCACAACAGGCTGTAACCCCCTGAATACATCAGGTCCAGGGGGGTGGGGACTTCTGGGGCCGCCACGCTGCACATAAGGGGACCCAGCAGCTGGTCCAGGGCCGGAAAGCCAGAGTGTGATGGACACTGTGGAGAGGCCCAGCAGATTCCACATACAGCCCTGGGGTGCAGGGGACACCCAACCAGCCCCGGGGGAGTCTGGGTAGTCTGTGTGGGGGGTGGTGGAGACACGGACAGAAAACTTTCTAATATATTATTAAGCTTTTCTTTCAAATGTTTGACCATGTGTGTCAAAATGCAAAACTCAAATGACTTCACTCAATATTAGTTTTGAACAATTATGAACTAAAAGGGAAATAATACAAACCCCTTCTCTCATGAAAGTCTCAGCAGTGTCCTTAGGCTCAGGAGGAAAAGAGACCTAGCCCTGAAGTGTCCCAGTGGTTCAGGAAGGGGACGGAGGAACCGTGGGGCCTGGGACCAGGGAACAGGGCCACCTGGGGGCCCCTGGGGAGAAACTCCAACACCCCACATGTGCCCAAGGTCACTTCAGCCAACACCCACGTGAGCCCAGAGGTGTCATCACAAGCCCGTCTGCTGCTGGGTGGTGAGAGCCGTGCCCGCCCCAGCGGTCAGGCGAGACGTCATGGTCACACAGGCGGCTCTACACCCACTCCGCAGTGTGGTGGATGCATCAAATCACGGCAAAGGGTTTTACACACATAATTATGCCACAAGAGATTAATTAGATCCCAGGGCTTCTGCTCTGTCCTGGCCTCTCTAGTTAAGGTCGTAAGGATGCGCCTGGGCGACGGTTAAGCTGCTCACATTGTGTATCGGCCGTTACAATTCGTCATCGTCCCCATGGCTCCCAAGACTTTGCCGGGGTTTATTTGTTCTCCCCTCTCTCTCATCCCCAGCCTGTCTGATTTCGTTTGCACGCACCGCCCTCTGCCTCGTAGGACCGGCACACTTGCTGTGGCGTTTGGAGGGAGGTGCAGCTAACCTCCGGTCCCACCTCGGTGAGAAACTAAGGGGAAGCGGGCGGCGGCTTGGAGAGCCGCATGAAAACACACCGCAGCACCAGGCCTGCCCCCTCCACCCGCTCGTCACCCCCCACCCTCCCAGGGTCCCTGCTCTTGGGGTACAGCTTCTGTAAAGCCTGCGGGTCCCAGGGCCATGTCTGCCTTCAGCCCGCCTGTAGCCACCCAGGGAATGACGTCATCCCGCTGCGTTCCTGCCCCTCTGGGATGAACCTCAGCCGGACACACAGAAACCACACTCACACCACAGACACCTTTCTAAAGAGTTATCGTTTCAAACCTGCCAGGGCTCCCGGCTGTTTAAATGCCTGGAGTGTGGAAGCACCCACTCCCCAGACACCCATGGGTCAGGCCAGGTGTGCTATTCTGAAACTTGCTTCCCCAGGTGGAAAGTGGGCAGAAGACCCCTAGGAAAATAGGGGCAGAACTCTAGGTGGCAGCACAGACCCGATGAGGAGAAGCACCCCCACCCGCGTGAGGCCTGACAAAGTCAGGGGGGCACGGTCCCAGGACCCCCCTAGAGCTGGGGTCCACATGCCCTTTGTGCCAAGGCACGGGCGGTAGGCACCGCTGGCTTTGCAGCCACACGGCCTGTACTGCAGCGTGAATGCAGCCCAGACAGTCCTTAAACAGTGGCTGTGCCACCGAAACGCCGTTGACAAAAGCAGGCGGTGGGCCACAGCGGGCGGCAGTTAGCGGCCCCTGCACTTGACCATGAAACCAGCAAACCTCCTTTTCTGCCCCCCTTCCCTCCCCACCTCTCAAGGAGTGGGCTGGGTGAGGGCCCCGGGGTCACGCCCCCTCAGGAGTGGCAGCCGGGGCTCCTGCAAACCTGGAGGACATGGGGACCCCACGTGGCAGTGGTTGGAGAAGGACCTGGGCAGGGCACCCTCCAGACTCCACGGTCACTGACCCACACGGAGGAAAACAGATTACCCAGAACTGTCTGGGACGGGCGACCCTGCCCGGGGCCTGCACATCTGGAGGGCTAGGTCAGGACAGGGAGCAAGCAGGCGACGTGGGACTTACACACACGTGCCCCCTCGGCACCCCTGCCATTGCTTTTCCCGTAAATCTCTCTCCCAAGGGGCAGGCAGGGAATTATTGAAGGCGACTGATGTCTGTCCTAGAAATGTTCTCTGTTTTGGTTGGAGAAGTGAACCGCTCAGCCAGAGACCAGAGAGGGGGTAGGGAGGGAGCACGCGGTCTCGTACCAAAGCCTCTGAAATCCTGTGAAAGGCCGTGTGACAAAGAGATTGGGACGAGTCAGCCCTGGGGACAGAGCAGCTCTGGCTCTGAAAGCTCAGTGACACATCACCATTACATGGCGTTGCCTCCCGCCCTGAATGTGATTAACTGGGGGACACCGTTCTCAGAGCTTGTTGCTGACACAAAGGCGAGTGCTCTGAGGCCCTGTCGGGTCCCCGTCCCCACCGGGACGCCTTCCCGGCAGGACCTTCCTGTATAGCACAGGTGTGGGGCCCCTGGTCTGACAGAGACTGCTGTGCCCCTCCGCTCACAGTGGGGACGCAGGGATGTGATTCTGACCATTGGTGATGGACAAAGGGAACACCCAGTCACCACCGAAGCCGGCAACCAGGGAGACAGATGGCTAGGGCTGCAGGGTGCTGGGGGCACGGGCTCCTGTGAGACAGGAGGTTCTGAAGGCAGAGGCATGGGTGCTGCGGCCACGGAGGACCCAGGAGGCTCGCAGGGCCATGTGTCACCAAGGAAACTACCCATCGCCTGTGATACCCAGGTCCTGTCACCTGGCAGCTGGCATGGAAGGGAGCCGGGCCAGTGCAGCTGGAACGAGGGGATCGAGAGTGGGGCTGGCACCCCCGTCCCAAGCAGACAATGATGATGACACGACGGTCCCCTCGCTCTGTCCTCCAGAAACCCTTTCCCAGGGAGACACTGCTGCACCTCCGTGGGGCACAAGGAGAGTCTGAGGGGCATTTGAATCAGGAAGAAGTAATCCGGGTCTTAAAGCATCTTCCCTTAGATTTGTTTCCCATTAACCACCAGGGCCCACGCCTGGTTGTGCCACCAAATGTGGGGCCAAGTCCAATGAGCTTTCAAATTAGCAGCTGGGGAAAAGGGCAGGGAGCCCGAGGAGGAAGGCTGGCGGACGAGACGATAGTTACGAAGTTTCCACGTGGGGAGGGGTGGCCTCAGTGCCGCCCACAGACCGTCTCCCAAGTCCCTGCTGACTGCCGTACTGGTGACATGGAAAGGGACAGGACTGGCAGGACAGTCACGATTGCCATCTAGGCAGCCTGGGACCCGAATGGGGAGGTGATGAATGAGGACACTGAAGGCACAAGTGTCTCTGGGAGGCGTCCCCCCCTTCCCCAGGGAGGGCTCTACACCCTCCACCGGCAGCAGCTCAGAGCAGTGACCACGGCCTGGGTCCCGGCCCCGTGGGGAGAATAGCAAAGGTGTCCCTCCCCCCGCAACTCCAGCAACCATTGTTATCAGAATTTTGTTTCTCACCAGCTCTGGGACAACCTGTCCAAGAAAGGAGCCAACTCGCAGGAAAACAGCTGAGAAGCACAGAGCCCGAGCACGTGGCGGTGGCCTGTCTGACCCCTGGGCCCAGCAGTGACCACAAACACTCCTGACCACAGGCCTAGGAATCCCCGTTTCTGCTCAACCACAAGTGGGGTTTCCTCTCCCCGAAACCACAGGAATCCTAACAGCCGTGTGTGGTCCCCAGGAGGCTTTCGCTAAGAGTCCCCAACACAGCCCTGCGTCCCCAACCCCCAGGGCCAGCGGCCACACTTGCAGCTTCAGCTGGAAACCTGAAGATGTGCCCCATCTCCCTGCGTGTCACTTGGGAAATGACCCCTACGAGGGCCTGTCACAGGAGTGACGCTTCCCAGGTAGGACCAGGCCCATCTCCACGCAGCCCCAGGCCCCCCACCGGCAGGGAACTTACCACGATGACCAGCAGGGCAGGGGCTACGAAGGCCCAGATGGCGCCACTCTGCAGGGACAGCCAGCAACTGCGGAGGGAAGCAGAGCCGTTACTTCAACAACCCGAGCCGCCTGCCCCAGCGCTGGGCACCTTCCTCCAGAAGGAGCTGCCAGGACAGTCCCAGGTCAGCCTGGGCACAGCCACATGACACTTCGTCCCAACGACTGTGTCTGTGCCCCGTGCACGAGGGTCTCACATCTCCCGGTCGTGGGGAGAAGTCTGCAGGTTTGCAGACCGGCTCAGGGAAAAAAGCTCTTACAGGCTCCTCGTTAGCGGGAAAATTCACCTCTGAAGGGTCTAGCCAAGAGGCAAAATGCATTTTCACTTGATTATAAAAAATAAGTAAATGGACTTCTGTTAGGGGCTGGCTTTCCTCCAGAGAGCAGCAGACACTGACCTAACAGGTGCCTTCAGTAGGGGGATCGGGGGTCGGTGAGTCATGTGACACAGGACCGACCATTTTATCCGCTTGTCATTAGCTGTCGGTCAGTGACACCTCCAACAGTGTCCCTAACTGAGAGAAAAGGCCCCAGGGGCAACCTGCAATGGCTCTGATTTCCAGAGACGCCTCATCTGGGATGTACGGTCCTGTTTGAGGATGTGAAATTCCTTCTGGCGTCTGAGGTGTGTCTCCGGGAGGTCAGACAAGAATGCCAGCTCCTGGACAATGTCATTTCTTTCAGGGCATCAGACCAGCCCACAGCCTGGGGGTCCCTAGGACAGCTCATCTCCCTGGACCTGGGGACAGCCCTGGGGCCTGGGCACACCTGCCAGGTCTGGCCAGGTGCGTGGCACAGTCCTCGTTAACACACGGTGGACGCCTTGGCCGGGCTGCCCGCTCACTGCCCAGTGACCGGCTGCTCGCCGACACCACACCAAAGCCCCGGCTGCGTCCCCTCGCTTACCCTGACAGCCCCCCGCCCCCGGAGGCAGGCGCTATGATGGCTCCCACCCTGCAGATGGGGAACCTAAGGCCCTGCTTTCCTACCCACTTCCTGCCCCAAGACCCCCTGGACCAGGAGACAACAAAGTGCCCCAAAACAGCTGACAGCACCTCTAAGGTGCTAACACCCAGAGTGTGGGGGGCAGAAACCTCCCGTCTGAGGACGCAGCATGGACAATGAAAATGCACAGTGAGCCTGGGGCGCCTCTGCCACGTGCCACTCAAGCCCAGGCCTCGAGAGTGTGCCGACTGCAGAGAAAGCCAGGCTGGCCCACGGTTTCACGAGGACTTTACGTCGGTGAGGGTCTGCCGACTGTCTGTCCTCCGCAGAGACAGCTTCCGGCACCTTCCCCCAGGCCCCTCACTCTTGGGCACGTGAGTGGGAGACAGGCTGGTGTCAGTCACAGACCCGGGCCCCGCACTGCGGGGGACACGGCACCCACACGCTCCAGGTGGCACAGCGCGGAATAAATGCTGTGGAAACATGTCCGACTAGAGGTTGCTTCTTTAATTAATGCCTCGACTTCTGAAACCTTCCCTGCTTGGACGGAATGGGTCAGAACAACGGTCTGTCCTGTCCCTCTTGTTTTGATACGCGCTCAGGCGACGCTTCTTTTACGAGCTTCTTTCCCTGTAAACAGCTTCCCTGAAGTAGAAAGGGCCAGGTTTCTCCCAGGTGACCAGCTGGAAAACCATCGCGTCCGGAAGCTGTAAAAATGCTTTCTCTTCGTGAACACTCTCCTTCCCTGTTTCCGCTCAGTGGTCCCTCAGCGTGGCCGAGGGGAGGACGCGGCTTCCTGGAGACACTGGAGCTACAGTCTGTTTTATTTTCTTGGAAGGCAGGCAGTTTCCCTGGATCTCGGAAACGGGACCTGGCCCACAGCTCTGTAGCCCGTCCGCTGCAGTCTGGAGTGTGGCACGGGGTCTCCGACACTGTCAGGCCCTGAGGAAGGGCCCTGCCCGTGGCACAGCAGGCCCGGCTTCCTCACACACATGTAGCCATGCGGCTGTGGCCACGAGCATTGGTGTGCTAGGCACCTGCTGACCACCTCACAGAGGGCGAACGCATCACAGAGCTGCGCTCCATGGTGACCGTGTGTCTAGGACGACCACATGGGTGTCACAGTTCCCATCAGAAACCTCACCATCCTGGGGGCCCCCTGACACCCCAGTTGCCAGTTCCGAGGTGGGACAGTGCCCTGGGCACAGAGGGGGTTGTTTCTCACTCTGTGTGGCCTTTCTCGCTGCCAGGGCCTGGGGGAGTCAGCCCCGTACACACCTTCCCTGGAAGAACATGGGAGACAGACGCCGAGGCCCTGGGACCCCTCCCAGGGCCCTCTCCCACGGGAGTCCTGCCAACACGGGCACCTCAGAGGCAAACCCTCTACTTACTTGTTAGTGGTTCCGTAACTGTCCATGGCTGACGATATCGAGATGATACAGATCAGAAGAGGAAGACCTGCAGAGAAGCAGAGCAGACGAGCACATCAGCTGGCCCAGCCTCCTCTTATTCACAAATTCACTTACCTGCTTTATACCTGATCCAGACAAGAAGCACGTGCCGGTGCTGCCCACAGAGCAGCCTGGTGCTCCAAGAACCTGCAGCCTGAATAAGGAGATAACACCCACGCAGGCGCACGCACGCGTGAAATTTAGGCGATTCCCTTATGGAGCCCGTTCTGTCTCTGAAAACAACCCGCTTCCGGCTGCTCAGGCAGCCCGCGTCCTCAGGGCCTGTGTCTGATCTGCTGCCCTGCGCACAGCCTCGCCCTCTGCTCCCCCTGCCGAGAAGGGTTGGGGCGAGGAGGGGAGACGGCGAGGACCCAGTCCCTTATTCCAGCCGTGATCCTGCCCTGGAGAGGGCGTCCGTGAGAACCAGCTCCTAGAATTAAAGGATGGGGTAGGAGTGGAAACTCGAGGCTGTTGTGTTGCCAGCCCAGCCGATGGCTGAGAGTGCACGGCCCACAGAGATCTCTGCTCCGGGAAGCTCGCCCTGGCTCCAGGCCTGGGCGCTCAAAGCTGCAGCTCCCCCACAACCTCCGGTACCCCCGTCAGCTCCCTGCCTGTCCATCCGAGCACAGCCATCCTCTCTTATTCATAGGGGATTTGTTCCAAGACCCCCCAGTGGGTGCCTGAAACCGAGGATAGTACCGAACCCTATATATACTATGTTCTTTTCTATACAGACATGATATGTTTATACGTGATGAAGTTTAACGTACAAACTAGGCACAGTAAGAGATTAGCAACAAGTAATGAAATAGAACAATTGTTGGGTTGTCGGAAAAGTCATGACGCATTTTTGCAACGAAAAACATAGAAAAATGCGCCATGACTTCTCCGACAGCCCAATTATAACAACACATTGTGATGAATGTCATGCACATGTGGCATCGTGGCTAAAACAAGGGTGACTGGCACACAAGCCCTGCGACAGTGTCACAGTCCATCTGACACCCGAGCTGGCGGCTGAGTGGATAACACGTGGGGAGCTCATACAACGTGGAGACGGGGACCAAGGGGTGACTCACATCCCGGCTGCCCCTGGACAGCACAAGATTGCATCACGGTACTCAGAACGGCATGCAATTTAACATGTATGAGTTGTTCATTTCTGGAATTTTCCATTTAATATTTGTGGACTGTGGTTGAAAACCATTGGCGAAGACAGCTACTGCATCAGTTTTAAATAATCTCCTTGAAAAGGACTTTCCTGGAGAGTCTTCCTGTTTCTGAAACACTTTGTTTTGATGTCAAAAATAGTTGAACTGCATTACGGAACGTCTGGAAGAAAGTCGCCGGGCCCACCCCGGAGACCAGGAGGCCTCGGGGGAGAGGCGGGCAGGCAGGGGCCAGGGGGGGACCTGCGCCTCTCACCACGGACTCTCGTCACCCTTGCGTTTTCCAGGTGTGAGTGTGGCCTGACAAGGAGGCAGAGCTTTCCTTGGGGGTGAGTGCCTCTGGCGCCTCCTGCCTGAATGGACCAGAGCCACACGGGACGAGGACGGCGCCCCCACACATCCCTGTCCTCAGATGTCACACGGAATCTTGCTGCCTGGCCTAATCGCATGACAGCTGAGGTGGTGAGGGGCCGTGGGGCGATCAGGCCAGGGGGACCGTCAGCCAGCTGCCCAGCCCCCAATGGCACCACCACCATGACTCCCAGTCTGCACTGAGGGGGAGATGCAGAGGCCATGGGCATCTGTCCTCTGCCAGGAGTGATGGGTCCAGGCAGAGCTGCGGCAGGGTGATCCTCGTGGGTCCTGGAAGGTGCCGCAAGGACCAGAGGGGCCCTGAGAATGGCTCTTCAGATTCGGCGGTCGAGGCTTTGCTTTGAGCGTGTCTGCACCCTTGCCCTGGTCCTGGCCACAACGAGGGGTCCAGGTCTGGGGTCGGCACCTCTTTGCTGCCCAAAGGTAAACAGAGGCATCACCGTTCCTTTTCTGCTTTCACAACTGACTTGTTTCTTGTACGATCCCCAAATCACCACCGGAAGCTCCTTTGCCATTTATTTCTCCTTGTGTCACCCCGTGTCCAGCAGGGGCCGGGCCATAGGGCAGTGACCAGCGGGTCTGAGAAGAGGGCAGGCCGACTGCTTCCCATGAAGCAAACTGTGGGGCCACAGAGATGGGGGAGCATGTGTGCTGCCAGGGAGGGCATTTCACAGGTGGGCAAACGCTGACGGGTCAGCAAGACGGAGAAAACAGCGACCGGGAAAAGCCTGGGCTTCAGAGCCAAACGACACCTGGTTCTACTTCCAGGGCTACAGGGATCGGGGGGCTGGACCTCTCTGGGCCTCCACGTTCTCGCTGTGGAAATGGAGACAGCAGCCTCTCTTCCCCAGGCTGCTGTGAGGGTCACAGACGTGGCCGTGCGAGTCACGAGGCCCTGGAGGTAAGACACTCCCACAATAATCCCCGCGGTTATCGAGTGACTTGGATCCGGTTTCCTCTGGTACTGTCACCTGCACTCGCGTCCCATAGCCACGCAGACACGTGACATGCTTCTGCAGGCAGCTTGGGTCCCTCTGGCCCGCCATGTGTACTGTACGGGGTCCCAGATGTGCTCTCTGGAATGTGGTGACCATTGAGAGGGCCTCGTGGCATCTCCATGGCTGTGGCTCCTAAGATCCAGGAAAGGGAGACACGGGGGGCGGCTGGGAAACAGTAACCAGGTCACAGAGCAGCTGAGAGCGGGGCTAATATGATGCCTGACACAAGGTGGACGGTCTCGACAGAGACAGGGCCGAGAGGTGACATCACCAGCAGACAGAGGCCCCCACCTGTGGGAGCCACCTGTGCCGTCTGCCACATTTTCTGGATGCCGGCGCTGGGCACGTGGGAGGCGTGCCCTTCTGCACCCGGGGGCTGTTGGGCCGAAAGCCTCCTTCTGAGCAATGAGTAGTAGACAGGAGTGACACACGGCTCTGTCGGCTGAGTGTGAATTTCCAGTGTGACATCGTCCTGGGTCCTCCTCTCTCACAGCCACTGGCAATGACTCGAGGTGGTGACGTTTGCATCGCCCTGGGCTCCTGGGTGACTGCACCACCCGAGCCCCTGCACCACCGCTGGCCCAGTGGGGACGTGCCGTGCAAACAGGAAATACTTGCTGCTTTTCACCAATGAGAGGTGGAAGCCTCTTGTTACCACGGTGACACCCCAGCTGGTACAGCTCCAAGAGCCTGGCACTGTGTCATCAGCCCAGAGCACAAATGCAATTCAGAGAAAGGGGGAGAAGGGTGTCCAGAATGAACTAAATTTTAACCCCCAGATGAGTGGGGGCTCCCAAAAGACATGAAGTTGTAACAGAGAAAACGCTAGTAGGTTACATTTCTTCTACCTCCGAGTCTGTGATGGGAGACTCATGTCTGCTGCACTGATGTGCAAACTCTCAAACGTTTGTCACTTATCTCCACCTGCACGCGGTGAGAGGCAGATTATGTTTCACTCGCCTCGCACGTCCCCGCACAGGCCTCACAGCTAACAGAACCTCAAGAGAGACTATTGATTTGACACCTCCGATCTCAACTCAGCTCAAAACACAGTCCCAGGGTTTCAGAAATGACTCTGTTGGGAGGCTGGAGTAAGCGTGGGGCACACCTAGGGGTGGCCCCGCGGCATGGCCTCAGCACGCCCCGGTTCAGCCTCCAGCTCCTTGTTAATTACTAACTGAAGGTTGAGAGAGCACAGCTGCCTGCAGACAGCCTTTATTTAGGCCCAAAGCTAAATCTAACCTAATCAGAACAAAGGACGCAGTTCATGAGCCCTGATGAAATTAATTAAGGGAAAGCTGACGTGGAGGAGAAGCTGCAGGCGGCTGAAACCCAGCCAGCTCTCTAGCTGCAGACAGCTCACATCAGGGGTTGCACACTCAGACCTCCGGGGGCCGTGTCGGTATCAGAAACCACTGAGTTCCAGCGGATGTCCTCAGGGAGGAATGTAAGCTCGGGGTTCCCAGATCACCTTACTTTTCAAAAGAACTCTATCGTTTTATGTAAAAGCTCTCCACTTAAAAATATTGGCAAATAATTATTTTTTTCCTCCAAAACTGTGCAGACCAAATAAGACATCCTTCGAGGGTGGATTAGATTGGGTTGACA